CATATGCGAAATTTTTATAATGTCCAAATTGTTACCAAACGTAATGTAGTTATCTAAAACGATGATTTTTCTCACTCATTTAAAGGTAACGCACACTAGCGTTTTTCAACAATATACTGATTGAAAACAAACCCTAAAGCACGAAACAGTAAGTAAATTACCTAATTCGTAAAGGTTCATCAACTTTATTTCACTTACAAGTAACTAAAGTCTACAGAAAATATATCTTTTATAATAAGCTATAAATTTATCGGCATGATAAATGCTACGACATCCATAATCAGCAATAAATTAGAACCTACAGCAGCGACACCAAGTGTCTAGAATGAAAATTTTGAGACTTTGTGGAACATGTCTTTACTCACATTATAGGGACAACTTTCGTAGTTAAATTATACATCTAAACACTCAAAAGTATTAAAAAACTTTTGGATAACTCATACCATAACTGGGCGATGATTTAATGTTCTTTGGTAAGCAAAAATTTTAAATAATTAACACTTGAAACCGTCGGTATTTGGTGAAACTCTATAATTAGATAACTAGGAAACAAAGACAATTGTAATTGAATAATTTTAAAAAACAGGACAAAAAGAAAATTATTTCTGGGATGTAACTGATTTACAAGAGTAATAAGTAAAACATCAGACAAACTCGTATGAAGACTAATTGCAAAACTGTCTTAGGATAAATGTTAAATCATGACTGTACTTTCGAAAGCCATCGTTAAGATTTTAAGTAGATATTATTTCATTCGTAATATCGTATTTCGTAAATATTATCGCTGTAACCCTTCATTAACTAAGAAAATTAATATATCTTTATTCGGGTCAATTATTATTTCTTAATTCACTTAGAGGTTTTACATAAACAGAATGTGCCCAATCTCGATTTCGGCTCATTTTATTGTTAAACTTGTTACAGAAGTCAATCCAGAAGCATGCATATCTTACCCCGATACTTCTTCATTGGTCAGGTTAGTCATCCTTGTCACAAAGGAAGATTTGATTTTTTTTTTAAGTTTTGCGCAAAGCTACTCAAGAACTATCTGCGCTAACTGTCCCTACTTTAGTAGTGATAGACTAGAGGGAAGGCAGCTAGTCAACACCGCCAATTCTTGGGTTACTCTTTTACCAATGAATAGTGGGTTTGCCCGTCACATTATAACGCCCACACGGCTGAAAGGAAGATGGGATGTCGGAGAAACATAGTTCTATTGAAGTTTGTGTGACTTGACATTTTGGAGAGTTCTGATGACAATTTTACGATCAACGCTGTTATTAGCAAAGTTACATTTGATCTGGTTAGCCCTGATAATTATCAAGTGCAGTATTCCAGATTTATATCGTGTTGTTTGGAGTACGTGTAAGTTGGCCACATCAATATAAACAGATAAGTTCCATATAATTTTTTCTTATTTTGTGCGACACTAAAAAATAGTTATTTTTCTAATGCCTGAAATTGAAACAACTGGAACAATCAATTTATTTTGGCCGGGTTGAACTTCTTCGGGCTAGATATGGCTTAATAGTTAGCATTAGACTGCGAACCCTAGGTTCGAGCCGCGATGTGCTACTAATCACGCTCCACACTTTCATCTATGAACGTGTTATAACACTCAATCTCGCTATGTTCCTACTTCTAATCCCTATTACCAAACAGGCTCGCCCTTTCAGCCGTGGGGGGGGGGGGGGGCGGCATTATAATGTTACGGTCAATCCCGCTATTCGTTGGTGAAAGAATAACCCAAGAGGTAGTGGGGGTGATGTTGACTACCTAGCGCAGATAGCCCTCGAGTAGCTTTCCACGAAGTAAAAACAAACAAACCAATACTCTAGGCTTAGATATTAAAATTCGGGGTTCGATTTCCCGTGGTGGACACAACAGATAGGCCAATCTGGCTTTGCTCTAAAAACAAACAAACAAACTTTAATAAGCACTAAAACAAAAGTGTCGAAGACTAAAAAATACCCTAGATATTCCGAATCAATCAAATAGGAAAATATAAACTGTTGATATATATAAAAATATAACCAAGACCATTTTGTGTGCATCTAACAGAAACACAATTATAAACTTATAATCAAATTATAAAGTACTTTGTGCTGCCTAAATAATACTAAGATTAACAGCGTTAAAGCGCACATATTAAATACAGAACATAAATGAACTAGTCATCAGTTTACAAAAATATACACTTGATTACGTCATTACCCGATTAATTTCCTCGTCCACGTACGCCATTTTTCAACGGAATACTGTGTGAGAATCGTGACGTCTACAGTATCATTTCTTCCGTCCGATTTCGTTATGACTTACGTCATATTTTGTTCCGTTGAATAATGTTTTTCATAATGAATTCAGTTGAAATCCTATATCATTGTTCACAAGTCTGTCTTTGCTTTTACTTCATTTAATTACTTCACTAATGTTTCTTTAGTGACAATATTTGGGTTCTGCGGTGAGTTATATTATTTCTATAAATTCGATTCTGGGATCATTTTGGTATACATGAGAGCCGACGGCTGATCTTTCTATTTCCAAACTTACACTCAAGAGACCGTCTAGTTTGATTTGCTTGTCTGTAGTTTAAGCACAAAGCTACACATTGGGCTATCTGTTCTGTGCCCACCACGGCTATCGAAACCCGGTTTCCAGGGTTGTAAATCCGCAGACATACTGCTGTGCCACTGGGGGGGGGGGGGCATTTAGTTTGACCAATGTAGACTTTTTTGCGTGAGCATTGGATCGAACATATTTATTATTTTTGGAAATTACTGGAAAGGCCTTCTCCTTTATTTAGTTTATAGTTATAGTTAATTTTAACTATATTGTTTCTTTGAACTTGCTTATTTTTTATTTTGTAGAACAAATTGTTGATTATATTGGTATCAAATCCTCGTGATACAGCAACATTTTTTTAAGTCTAAGTAGATATTTGGCATACGCCAAATTAATGTTTTGTAAACGCTAAATTTTTATGTTTAAGCACGGTTTATTCTTTTGGAGGGAATAGACTAATACTATTTGGTCTTCGGTACCCTGCTGTTCATATTACGTCATCAGTATTTCTTGCGATTAAAACGTCCAAAAAAACCATTTTTTTTGTGACTTTCGGCTTCGTAAATTATAAAAATATCTTAACCAACAGTCGCCCTTGGATACAACAGTGAAAGTTTCAATTTCGTAACATATGTATAAATAGGTTTTCGAAGGCATATGCCGAGTCCTTAATTCTAGTTGAACTGGAAGTAGGAGTTGAGACAATTTTAGCAGGGTAATAATTTCTTCTTTTTCAGTTTGAGGTGAAAATGTCTCAATTTTTTTTGAAAGTCCCAGTTATTGGAACATATTACAGAACATGCGTATGTAACAGGTTTAAAATTGAGTGACTTTTTGCTGTTTAGTGAAAGAAGTAATATTCGGTCTGAATAACAAGGACAAAAACTTTTACAAAAACAGAAGTTCGCCGGAGATGAAAGTGATAAGCGATTGCTGTTTTTTGTTGAAATTCATGCAAAGTTACTTGAGGGCTATTTACGCTAGTTGTTCCTAATTTTCGAATGATAAACTAGATGAAAGGCAGCTATTCAACGCTACCCACCGTCATCTCGTGGACTACTCTAATCGAATAGTGAGTTATAATCGTCACTCTGATAACGCACCTACGGCCCAAAAGTTCGGAGTGCGATTCTTTTTTTCTGATGGTAACGGTGCGTAAAACATATAACTCCATATCCACAGTCCATTACGCTCACAATTGGGCCGCGCTTGGCTCAGTATGTTGTTATTACTAGAGTTAAACAGTTTAAATAGAAGAAACTGGACTTAATGAAAACCAAAGAGAAACTGTAATCCAATAAAAATAACACTGAATTTCCTTAATACAATAAAGTCGGTTTAACAAAATTTAAAATTGGGAATGAATCATATGCGGAATTTAATTAGAGAGAGAGAGGGGGGTGGCTTTATATATAACATGTGAGTAACATCCTGTTGAAGTTTAGGATAGTTGAATCCATTTGGGTTTATATTAGCGGATATAAAGGAAAAAGCTTTTAGTGGGAAATTGTTACAGACCACCAGATGATACTGATAAAATTAGTGAGGAACTTTAAATTGAGATTAAGATTTCAACTGTTAATGAAATCATAATTATGGGTGATTTTAATTTCAGGCATATAGATTGGGAAATGTTAAAGTCAAATCATGAGTGTGAAAGGTTATTGGAAATTGTTCAGGATGGCTTTCTTCACCAGTTAGTCAAGGAACCAACCAGAAACAATGCTATTTTAGATTTATTCTTAACTTCTAATACAGAAATGTTTGAGAGGGTGGAAACCAGGGAGCATCTGGATGCAAGTGATCATTGTTCTCTTAGGTTTGATGATTGCTGCATATGGAGATCAGGAATAATGATATTTTGGTTACAAAATGTCCAAAAAAGCAAATTTTTAAGGGATACATACAAGAATTATCTGTTGTGAATTGGGAAGCTGAGTTATTTGGAGATACCGATCAAATGTGGAACATTTTAAAAAATAAAATTTTAAATATTGAAGATAAACATATTCCTTATAGAAAGAAAAGGAATAGCTGCAAGTAAAAAACCAAGTTGGCTCACAATTAAAGAGAAGCATCATAAGTTTAAGAAAATTAAATTGATGGGTATGAAAGGAGGTTATAGAAGCCCGAGAAAGTTGTTCAAATGGAAACCTGCTCCTCCCATAAAAAGAAAAACTTGTGTTGTATATTATAGGATAGCCCTAAGTAACAGTTTTGGGGAACAACATTGCTTACTTTTAAAATAATTTTTTTCGGCATTAAATACAGTAATTTACACTGGAACTAAGTTGTTATAACCACATAATTTACATTAACCTTTATCAGTGCCATAAAAAAAATTCAAGAATTCAAATTTCTCTTTGCTATTTTTTAGGGTACTCTGATCAGAACCTAAATATGAAGTGTTAAATATGTAAAGCTTGAAAATAAGTTACCTTTTTATGTAGAACTCACCCAAGGTGAATGTAAAGATAACATGGAGAAAACGTGAAACTTTTATTGTCACACAAGTGGTACAGACTAAGATAAAGCTTTTGTAGAATATTGTATGATTATTTGAATGTAATCACAATTCATGTTAATTATGTGGAAAGCACAAGGTAAATAAAGTCACAACCCACACTTAATATTACTTGATAAAAGATATATTTATAGGATAGAATACTTTGAGTTTGATGTATTTATCATAAAATTAACTTTATCTGTTGGCAAAAACATGCTGCACCATGCTCAATTATTTATCATCTTTTAAACTTTGTAGGAAAATAGCCAAAATTAAAGTTAGTAAAGTTAAGTAATAAAAGTTTATAAAGTAATTCAGTACATGTATCATGTTAATCTCTAATTATCATGTTTTGGTATCCACACAGTTTATCATCACAATTAATGCTAGCTCACATTCTGATCACACTGTAGAATTCAATCAAAAGCATCACAAAGATATTATGACAGGAAGAACTTTTTCAATGAAAAAAAGTACTTAATTACAACACACAGAACACAAACCTGAACAAAAATTAACCATAAAAAATTTATAACTATAAAACACTCCTTCAGTGAACAAAAATGTAACTGTTTTTAGCTTACCACATGAAAAAGTAAGACATTAATCTATGAAAACAGAAATTAAACAATGTCAAAAAAATTCGTAATTCATGGCATGATGTACAAGTTAAACATTCATTCACTCTTACAGCAAATGAGTAAACCTGAAAACATCTACAGACTTTACACTTTGTTTACCGATTATTTGCCTTTAAAATAGATTAAATAACATCTGATTGAGATATATATTAAAAAGTGGGGGGAAAAAAAGAGACATTACAAATATTTAGCTACTACTTATGGTTTGTAATTGACATTATAACAAGGAAATACATAATATTGAAGCTATATCAGCTAGTAAATTAGATTAATGAGGTT